CGCAGGTCAGATTGATAGTACTTTAACATTGCTTTAGTTTATTAGTTTAATTTTATGTTTAGGTGGCCATATGCTGTTAAATCTTCTGCAAGGATATGAACGTTTGGTTAAGGGCAATATAGAATATAAAGAGGGACAGACGCCAACCACGTCATCAAATTATGTTCTACCTGGCGTAGGTATGTAATGGTTATCACCTTTCTTATTTGTTGTATTTTATGATTGCCACAGGGTGGGTTCTTTATGTCTTAGATAAGATGTTAACAAATCTATTCCATTTGTTAATAAAAGTATTTACATATGTACATTTGTGGTCGAATGTTCCAAATAAAAATTACACCCTAACGTTTTAGCTTTACACTAATCTGACCAACTTTTACTACATACTAAATTAACTCACTTTCACAATCGTTTACAAATCAAAGTAAAATATACTCAACAAGAAGTAAAACTGTTTGCATGCTAAATGTTAAATGTTTTGTTTTTCGAAAAATTACTAGCTAGACTAGCACACTTTCTACTCCTGGTTCTGTATTTCGGTTAAATCACTGTGCCTAGTCGATCAATGTGGATGCAGTCAGGCACATGTAATGTTTCGTGAGTGCCCGCCTCTGTACTTTTCAATGGAAGAATTTTGCACTTCTGTTTAAATAATCTATATTTACTAATCTGTGTATATCAAACTTCATTGATTTACAAAACCAAAGCTACGCTATAAACACACATTCTCTGATATTTTTACGGAGAATAGATAACTCAAACGAGTTCACTCGACCAGTTTTATCATATCGCTCATAGCTGTGAGAAGGTATGTATAATTCGACATAGGTTTACCTTGTAATGGGGAATAAAAAATTCAAGTAATATAATTATTTCACATACATAAATATGTCTGTGTGAAGTAAAATACAAATACAATGCGTTCTATAATATTTTTGGGGTTATGGTATGAAATATCCGCTTTAAAAAGCAATTTAATTATGATGTATCATGTGGATTAGTAGACGTTCTGAATGGATTCATCGAGCAGACTGGCTAGGTTTCAATTTAATCATTTAGAATGTGTGTATTTTTAATATTTTAATCCACAGTGTCCAAAAACAATAATAATGCTATATTGGTAATTGGAAAGATTCCACTTATCACGATTTCAAAAAATTGTAAATAGATAATATTATTCTTGAATTATGGTCATTTGTTTCAAAGAATCTGGAGGCTCGTTCAGCTGAGCTGACAAAATCATCAAGATCTACGGATGGTCCATCTGTTGGCTGCTCATTGTCACTTTCAAGGAATGTTAATGTCTCTGAAACTTGTAGCCTTGCCCAAGTCGGTATTTATTTACTTATCTGATCTTGAATTATTACCACCTTGTACAATCCAATGCATCATCGCTGATATTATTTACTGAAGTTATTCAGCGGTTCCGAGATTCCCATAATACCTAGGCTACCTAAGGGTATCGCAAAACCATATTGATTGACAATATGGACATGGACACAACGTGTGACTTCAGTCATCAAAACGTTATCAGATTGACCTGCATAAAAAAGCAAACTACCCGTCTAGGACTTGAAATTCAATGATCCGATCGAGTGTTTCTTGAGAGTTACAATATATTATGTTATTAAATGTACATTGGAATGTAAGCAGTCATTAATACTCGTCTAAATGAAATCATGCAATTCAATGTAGATTCAAAATCAAAACTGAATTCGCGATGGAAATGCACGAAGACCTAGTCCGACAATGTAGGGCCGTCGTTGATTTGTCAAGTTTTACTGACAAAAACATTGGGTCGGTAAAGCACGTGGCTTTCTCTTGGGTACAAGGCAGTCATAATAGAAATCAAGATAAGTAAAAGAGACCAACTTGGGCAAGGCTATGAAACTTGATTTGTGGGTATTCCAGTGGGTGGATGGGTCTTTTGCTCTGAATTCACTTCATTGGCGTACCTAATTTCAACATTTTCATTGTCATCATTACATGTTATAGACCCCTTTTTCAAATTAACAGTATTAGCGATGAAACCATAGACGTGTCGCAAAAAGGTCACGCACGCATGTTTACACATTTTCGCTTTTTAACACCACAGAATGTGACGCTTTATGAGAAAAATGTACACATATGGAAATCCTTTCGTCCTCCACATTTGCCTCTATATCTCAAAATATTTAAGGCGAATAACTCTGATATCGTATATGTATTAACAATGAGATAGGAGCATCATAAAACACGAATCAATTGATATTTTAGATGAAATAAATATACGTGTTGCTGTGCTTGAAAATAGGCGAATGGCGTAAATTAGCCCTATTTTAATGAATTTTGAAAACCTTTCGTCCTCCACTTTTCCCAGAAGTACTCGAAGGCAAAAACCGCTTTTACAAACTGGCTTCTTACGTACTACAGAAGCCGGCTTCTACAGTCAACAAGAAGCCGGCTTTTAAAAACCGGCTTCTGAAGGACAACAGAAGCCGGCTTCTGGAGTCACCAAGAAGCCGGCTTTTAAAACTGGCTTCTTACTTACTGACGTACTGCAGAAGATGGCTTTTGAATATAGTTTATATTGTCATATTTTTGCAAAACCATACGGGTAAATTGAATTCTAAGCATGGCTCTCGATGAATTTGATCACGTTCATTAATTCCAAAAATATTATGCATTGTATTTCTGGTTAATAAAAACGCACCGCTCATTTTTCAAAACTGGGTCCAAATTGGAGCCAGTTTTCAAATCAGCTCACACCATTAAACACAGGCTATTAACGGACAATCTAGCCACTGGGAATCACGAGATACTGTCTCCCGATCATTTTGATGTGTATTATGCATCTTATTCTCGTATAATCTGCATGAAAATAAGAAAAAACTGAAAAATATGTAAAATTATAGCATAATTCAAGATTTTTTGCAAAAAATCTTTAAATATATTACAATTTTATGTATTTTTCAGTTTTTTCTCATTTTCATGCAAATTATACGAGAATAACATGCATAATGCACATAAAAATAATCGTGAGATAGTATTTCGTGATTCCCAGTTACCAGATTGTACCTACATAGCATTTGTCATTTGGGGCGAGCTGATTTGCAAACTGGCTCCAAGTTGGAGCCAGTTTTGAAAAGTGAGCGGTGCGTTTTTATTTAACGGAAATGCAATGCATAATCTATTCTGATTTAATGAATGTGATCTTAATCATCGATATCTGTGCTTAGAATTCAATTTACTGTCATGGTTTTTTGTCTACGGAATTCCACTACGTCTTCATTCCGATCAGGGACGAAACTTTGAGGGAGAGATCATAGCAAATCTGTGTAAGATGTATGGTATAAGTAAATCCAGAACTACGCCATACCATCCATCCGGTAATGGTCAGTGCGAGAGGTTTAATAGGACTCTCCATGGATTACTTGTCACTCTACCCGAAGACAAGAAAAGAAAGTGGCCAAAGTACCTGAAGGAAATTACCTTTGCCTACAATAACACACCTCATTCTGCAACAGGATTTTCTCCTTTCTATCTCATGTTCGGTAGAAATCCAAGATCAACACTTGAGATTCAATTAGAAGCCCCAGAGGAGGAACAAATGAAAGATTCATGGGTGACTGAACACCAGAACAGACTTCAACTAGCATATAAAATGGCAAATAATCAATTGAATCAAATAGCAATGAAAAGGAAAGCACAACATGATAAAAATGCAAAGGATAACAAAATAGCTGTTGGATCGACAGTGATACTAAGAAAAAGAGTGATGGGACGGAACAAAATACAAGATGCCTATGGAAAGGAAGAATACAAAGTTGTTAAAACAGAAGGAAATGTTTACACTTTGGAAAACAAAAATGGTGAAACAAGAGTTGAAAACAGAGTAAACATTAAAATGAAAACTTGTCAATCTGAAAGTAAAACAAGTTCTAGTGATGAGGAAGAAGAAAATAAAATGACAGTGAGAAGGAGCAAAAGAATTGCTAATAAGTCCAAGAGTGACTTGTAAAAATATATTGAGATAAAAAGAGGAGTTAGTGGAATTGAATATATATCTATAAAAACAAAATAAAAACAAAAAATTTCAAATTCAAATTTTTACATTGGCACAGGTTTTAAAGTGTTAAATGTTATTTTTAAACTGTTATATTTTAAAGTTACATTTATATTGCAATTGTGTGTGTTACATTTAACTGTTAGTATTGTAGTTATGAGTTATAATTTTGACTCCTAGGATTTATGTTAATCAACTCTATAATACTAATGGTAGTGGTTGTTGGGGAGGTAAACCATTTATATTTATACAGATGTTAAACATTATTTTATGATCAAAAGTTGTTTATGTTATATTTTGATGTTAAACAGTAACCAGAATGGCACTTAAGGTAAATGTTTTTTACACATTTAGACATGTCCGCGTGGATGTAAATGGGACATTTACGTATTACATTAAGATGGCAGCACCATCTAAAGAGTATTTTATATTTCAAGTTGTAATTTTATATTTGTATTTGAATTTCCCACCATTTCACATTATAATTTGTTTATCGATCATGTGACAAATAACCCACCAGTTACATATGTAATAATTTTACGTATTTTTCAGTTTTTTTCTCATTTTCATGCAAATTATACGAGAATAAGATGCATAATGCACATAACAATTATCATGGAACAGTATCCCGTGATTCCCAGTTGCTAGATTGCCCCTACATAGCTTGTGTAAGATGGAGCGAGCTGATTTGCAAACTGGCTCCAAGTTGGAGCCAGTTTTGTAAAATGAGTGATGCGTTTTTATCATACAGAAATGCAATGCATAATCTAGTCTTATTTAACGAACATGATTTAATTCATCGATATTTTTACTTAAAATTAAATTTCCCCCATAGTTTTGGTTTGAAATTACTTTTTGCAAAAAATCTTGCAATATGTTACAATTTTACTTATTTTCATTTTTTTCTCATTTCCACGCTAATTATACGAGAATAAGATGCATAATGCACAACAAAATGATTGAGAGAGAGAATCTGGCTTTTAAAACTGGCTTCTTGGTATCTGCAGAAGCCAGCTTCTGTAAGTCATTCGAAGCCGGTTTTTAAAAGCCGGCTTCTTGGTGATGCCAGAAGCCGGCTTCTGATGTACTGTAGAAGCCGGCTTTAAAAACTGGCTTTGTATATTTGCCTTCGACTCTTTCTCACTTTTCCACATACAACAGAAAACACATACTTTTGCGAACAAAATCAACTATTTATTGATAAACTAGAGTTTAGGAGCAAAATAACCATGTATGATTTATTAAAAATTGATCTCGTATTTTTTGTTTAATGTACACCTGAAAAGTTGAAGGTAACAAAAAATGAGCAAAAAAAGGTCGCTGTCAACAGATTCTATTTTTCAAACTCTATGACATCACAATATGGGACGCTTACTTAAATTCATACTTTGAAATAAAACGTTCATCTACCTTTATCAAGACGAAAATAAGTATAATAGTCATATATTGTTTGAGTTATGAGCGTTTAAAGACGAAAAATAATTCAAAATGTAACGTGTCAACAGGGGATATTTGCCAGATGTTTTGGTAAACTCTTTTTTAAAAAGAATGCACAAGAATCGTGAACGGAGTGTAGTTGATCTAAAACTTCATCAAAACAGCTTTAAAATAATATATAACTTTAATTAGAATATTATCTTATATTCCGAGGAATCAAAGTTACATTCACGTGATACCCTTAGAAAACAAATGCGCCACCTTTTTGCGACACGTCATAGTTTTTGAGCCTATGGGATCGACCAGGTGTACGTCCGTTGGTCCGTCCGTCTGTCAACATTGGCTGCACAAATTAAAACTGCTATTCGGATTGAGTCATTTCCATATTCATTTTATGCATATCCATAATGTCTATTTGACCTATCATCGCCATTTCCCAAGTTCGGCCGGTTTCCGAGAAATTGCTGTTTTTTTAAATTTCGAGAAAAATCGATTTGATGATAGCCTTATAGAAAGTCAAGAAAAGTGAAGAAAAGATACCAGTCCAGTCCATTTCCAGGTCCAAGTCCAGGTCCAGGTCCAAGTAAAGGTCCAGTTCAGGTCCAAGTCCAGATCTAGGTCTAATCAGGTTTAATCTAGGTCAATGGTCAAGAACTAGGTCAAATCCAGTACTTTGTCATTTTCTCAATTTTCTCAGTCGTCCTTTAATATTTTTGCTCTGTTTTTAATCATGTTCCTTGGAAAAAAGCTAATCCCTACAGGCAAGTTGTTTTTGATCACTCTTACCGTTTTTGAGATATGGCATCCGAAAAGTAGGTCACAATAAAAAAGTTCTTGGAATTCAATGTATGAGTTATGAAATATGTGAAGAATTGTCCAAGGAATCCGAATCTGCAAACCAGATTTTGATCTGACTTCCGGTTCGGAAGTTATGACATTTTGAAATCTCAAAAATCGCTATTTTGGTATCCCATGTTAAGTCAAAGGGGCTTAAGAAAATTATCAAATGTAACAACACAACACTAGATACAGCTTGGATGCAGCCAACTTAATAAGAATATACAATAGAAGCCTTCCTCAATATCTGCTTTCCTTCAAAATTTGGACTCTAAAAGGCCTAGGTCAAAATCTAGGTCAAATTCATATTTTTTTCCTTTGACAACAACAAATCATATCTGAACCAACAACAACGGACTCATCTTTTATTGATCTCATATTTACCAAGACTTTTGTTTGAAAATCAGGATATACATTCCTCTGAAGGTTCTACACTGTGTGAGCACAGAACCGTGGGTCCTTCATTTCATCTGTAATGGCATTTTCCAATTGATGGGTTTATACATAGGCTTCGAATGACTTACAAAAGCTGGCTTCTGCAGATACCAAGAAGCCAGTTTTAAAAGCCAGATTCTCTCTCTCAATCATTTTGTTGTTTTTATGTATATAGTATTTTCATTTTTTATGAGGGTGTCTTTAGACTACTTGTAATAGGGTGGCTAATTGCTTTACTGAATGAGGAATGTTTATCCAAACAATGGATACAAAGAAAATCTGGCCAGTTGTCCATTAGTAAATAAATCATCATGATAAAAGTATAATTTATTAAAGCATCCATTTGTTACCGTTCTGAATCCAAATGATACATAGGTGCATCCATTTTATACATATATGTTGACGTATACGAAATGTTTTTCAAATATCTTCCTTATAACAGGAATATGGTAGCTGAAACTTTTACTGATTGTCATACTATGTATATTGAATATGTATGCAAGATTTCAAGTCACAATGTTAAGTAGAAACTCCGAGATCACTTACCTCGATTTGCTGTTATATTTTTGCAATGATCCCATTCCCTATAATGTACGCGAGCACCCACGATACATTACATATAAATGACTGCATCCACATAGATCGACTACCCACAGTGTAAATCACGTAAGTAAAGGCCAGCATTATGAACTCAAGTTCTAAAAGTATGATAAGGAAAGTACTTAAGGAAAGTACTTAACTTATAAACGCTGTTCTATACGTGAAAACATATTGCCTTACGAGAACAAAGCGCAGGATGTTTTGATGTATTACGCAAAAACTATACGTATACGTATATTGAATCTTATAAGGGGCCAATTACGTATAACGAAAACGGTTAATCTATAACCAATGTGAAAATGTATTTTCAAAATACTAGCACACTTTATTTTACTCGTGGTTCTGTATACTGATATAATCACATTAACAACGGCCGGCATAATGCACATCAAGTTCAAACAGTATGTCACTGGGTGTAAATAAATATCAATTATGTATGTAAGACACTGAAAAAAAGATAACAAAACTTCTAACTTATGATTCCTGTTCTATCTTTAAAAAACGTATAGCCTAACGAATAGAGAGCGCAAGTTGTAATGACGCATTACACAAAAGCTACATGTATACATATAAATATAAGGAATCTAGTAAGGGGGCCAATTACGTATAACGAAAATTCTCTAGTGATATATGCAATTATGAATATAGAGGAATATATAAACAATTGGAACCGAATGCTTGGATTGATACAATCAACACAATAAAACAAAAGTTCCCATAATTATTTCACCACACCACATGTAGTGGCATTTTGTTTTTATTACCAAGATTTCCTGTAACAAATGGTAGGTGGTGACATTTTGCACGTAAATGTCAAGTGACTTATATTTAGGACCTTGCGTATGCGTATAGTACGTGTAGAACGTACTGTACGCATGTACAACTTCTTTTTCGTTGTCATAGTAACGCCAATTCTAGCAGTTTTGTTTGTACTTAAGGGATTTCACAATTGAAGAAGTTGCTGGAGATGTGCGTTAACAAAAACGAAAGAAAGAAAAGAACGAATGAGAAGAAAGTAGACTACATACCTGAAGGCACTGAGTCTAAAGGTGAGATAAAATGTCATTTTTGATATATGAACCTCTTAAAATTGTCATTGAAAAGTGCGGGAACGGGACGTTGATAAGGGAGGGGGGCGTGGGTATAATAGTTTATTATACTTTCTTCTTCGAATGTTGTCGACAACTTTGATAGAAAATCGACACATCGTTTGAAATCATGGGATTGTATTTATGGTTCGATTTTTACAAAATGAATGAATTCCTGTTTGAGACTTTAATTCAAAAGTCGAATAAAATATATGCTTTTCCGGGACGGAGAGAAATACCGTTTTCATTGCAATTTGATGTAAGAGAGGAAAGATTTTATATTTTCAGAGATTACCAAAGTTATGTATGACTTAGGAAAAGAAATAACAAAACAGACGGAAGTAGAGAAACAAGCTACACTTATGTGTGATTTGGGTAAAGAATATGCAGATTTAGCAAAAGAAACCGGAGAGGGTTGGCATTTCATCTATGCAACAGCTCTGTACAATGCCGCCTTACAACGATTCAAAAAGATTAACGCAGAAAACGAGGTAATCTTAGCTGATCGTTTGGATAATATACAGAAACAACTGCAACAATTAGAAACGGGCCTCCTTAAGACAGCATCTAAAGTCAACAAGGAACCCCTCAGCAAGAGCATGGAACGGTACAAAGGTGTTTTAGAAGGCATTCGAACACATTCAAAAGAGGCGATATATGATATCCACACGAAAGACATGTTAATAGACCCTGTGACGTTCGAGATGAATGAAGAATGCCAAAGAAGAACGATCGAAAGTAGTAAATGTTACTATGACACTCTGACAAGGAAGATCATAGAATTACACAAGCTAATGATAGATGACTGTATTTCAGTTCTAGGTCGTCGAAACTGTAGGTTTGCAATAATAGGCTTAGGATCGTTGGCTCGTAAAGAGGTAACCGCATGGTCTGACCTCGAATCAGCAATTTTGTATGACCCAACTGGTAAGTCAAATGAGGAAATTGAAAAATTAAAACTCGATTTTAGAATCCTTGTTCATTATTTACACCTGAAGGTTATTAATCTCGGTGAAACAAAAATCAATGCCCTGGATATTCCCGTTCTTTGCGATTTCAATTGTAAACTTCCGAATGGTGTCAAAGATAATGATTTTCATGATGAAATAACCCCACAGGGTCTTTGTTTCGATGGTGCCTTGCCAAAAGCTAGTAAAATACCCTTTGGTAGACGATCTACAAAGCACCCTACAAAACAAGACACTTTAGAGTTGATAATGACCCTTGATGAAATGTCTGAATGTCAGTTTGAAGAAGTCTCTATCAAGGAAGGTTATCATCTTAGCGATGTACTTTTAACATCTACTCTGATCACTGGGGATGAATCATTGTGGAATGAGTACAATGAAAAGGTCCACGAAATACTTTCCTCTTGTTCAACTATTGACATAGAACTGTCTGTGGGTAAACAAAGGGGTATAGAAACGATAAAGGAAGATTTAAAGGCTTACCTCACCAAACCTCTTACACCAAAGTCATTCAATAAAAAGATGCGTACAAAACATAATATTTACCGATTTGCAACCATATCGATAAATATCCTTAAGTTATTGCATCATTGTAGATCATTTTCTCCCCTTGATATTCTAGATGAGTTACATTTAAAGCAAGTACTCTCAGAGAGCGCTAAAATAGATTTACAACTCATGGTATGCATGGCCATCAATATGCGTCATTTAGTATATGGTAGATGTGGTCAACAACGAGAAATGGCATCTTTTGTAACCAGACCATCTCGAGATGAATTATTTGCCGCCTATGATCATGTATCAGTTAGGGATTACTCACCCGCTATTTTTCGGTTTTATGCCACACTCATTCCGTGGACAGATTTTTTGTTGTATAACTACTGTTTTAATGATATTTCCACTTGTAAGCACCTATCCCACTATATCGACTTGAATCCTCAAACAACTGCCGACATACAAAAAGAAATGTATATGCCTCAAGGTGTGATAAATTCCCTCGAAAGCCCGAAATCAAACCTAATACCAAATAATATGGAGAGTCAAAAACAATGTTTTCCACATTTGTCACGGGATAATATTAATGAATCGACCAATGAACGTTTACAACACGAAAAAGAGACATCTGCAAAGAATTCAGATACTTCTGCAAGGTTAGACTCACTTGGTGACGCGTATGCCAGTAAAGGTGAGTTTGATAAAGCGATTCAATATCACAATGAGAGTCTTGCAATGCAGAGAACAATACATGGTAATCATCCTCATCCTAACATAGCATCTACATTGGGGAATCTTGGTAACACATATCACAGGAAAGGTGAGTTTGATAAAGCGATTCATTATCACAAAGAGAGTCTTGCAATGAAGATAACAATACACGGTAATCATCCTCATCCTAATATTGCATCTTCATTGGGGAATCTTGGTAGCGCATACTTCAGAAAAGGTGAGTTTAATAAAGCGATTCAATATCACAATGAGAGCCTTGCCATGGAAAGAACAATACATGGTAATCATCCTCATCCTAACATAGCATCTTCATTAGGGAGTCTTGGTAACACATATCACAGTAAAGGTGAGTTTGATAAAGCGATTCAATATCACAATGAGAGTCTTGCCATGGAGAGAACAATACATGGTGATCATCCTCATCCTGACATAGCATCTACATTGGGGAATCTTGGCATCGCATATAACAGTAAAGGTGAGTTTAATAAAGCGATTCAATATCACAAAGAGAGTCTTGCGATGGAGAGAACAATACACGGTAATCATCCTCATCCTGGTATAGCATCTTCATTGGGGAATCTTGGTAACACATACGACAGTAAAGGTGAGTTTGATAAAGCGATTCAATATCACAATGAGAGTCTTGCCATGATAAGAACAATACATGGTAATCATCCTCATCCTGACATAGCATCTACATTGGGGAATCTTGGTAACGCATACGACAGTAAAGGTGAGTTTGATAAAGCGATTCAATATCACAAAGAGAGTCTTGCAATGGAGAGAACAATACATGGTGATCATCCTCATCCTGGCATAGCATCTTCATTGGGGAATCTTGGTAACGCATACTTCAGTAAAGGTGAGTTTAATAAAGCGATTCAATATTACAATGAGAGTCTTGCAATGGAGAGAACAATACATGGTAATCATCCTCATCCTAATATAGCATCTGCATTGGGGAATCTTGGCATCGCATATGACAGGAAAGGTGAGTTTGATAAAGCGATTCAATATCACAATGAGAGTCTTGCCATGATAATAACAATACATGGTAATCATCCTCATCCTGACATAGCATCTAATTTGATGAATCTTGGTAGAACATACTGTAAAAAGGGCGATCACACTCAAGGTCTGCAATATTATACACGATCCCTCATCATCCTGAAACAGATTCATTGTGATCAACCTCACCCGGATATAGCAAGTCTATTAAGTAACATTGGTGTTGTATGTAGTGATACAGGGGACAATGAGAAAGCTTTACAGTACTATACAGATAGTCTCACTATGAAGAGACAGATTTTTGGTAATCAACCCCACCCCAGCATAGCTGCCTCGTTACACAACATAGGTACATTCTATGTTGATAAACACAAGTACGCTGATGCACTGAAGAATTTCTATGAAGCGCGTGATATGTATAGGAAAATACATGGTAATAATCCTCACCCTGATTTCAAGGTAACACTTAGTGCTATTAACGCAACAGAACAATTGCTAACGAGATGCATATCCATTATGTTCTCGTCCATGCACACGTAGACATTGAGATCCATCTAATTAAATGATGTTCCAGCAAATACTATTTGGATATTTAGACATATTTGGATATTTTTAAAGCACCATCATGTACAACGCTCAAATGTGAACAGATGAATGAATTAAACCGGAGCTTATTTGTAGGATTTATTTATTCTCGAGCTGTTGATTTAACAATATCGATTTTGCTTTGATCAAGAACTGTCCGAGAGAACTTAACATTTGATCTTTAGTTGTTTCGAAATGTAAGTTGTTTCAAAACTGGACCTTGTGTGCAACATGATTTCCTTTTGAAAGCGATGACTAAAAACGTTTGTCTCAGGACTTATCTTTGAGAGGAGTTTATCTTCGGGAGAACTTTAATTATCTTCAGGAGGACTTTAGTCCTATTGTCGCACTGTAAAAAATATTCAGGGGTAAAATAATTTGAGCATGTCTACTATTCCTTAGCATACGTCTACAATGAAAACTTTATACCCGAACACCTTTCTTATCTTTAGTCCTGTACTGATATACAAACCTTCAGGTGTAAAATAATTTGAGCATGTCTACTATTCCTTAGCATACGTATTCAGTGAAACCTTTATACCCGAAAACCTTTCTTATCGTTAGTCCTGCACTGGTATACAAACCTTAAGGTGTAAAATAATTTAAGTATGTCTACTATTCCTTAGCATACGTATTCAGTGAAACTTTCATATCCGAACACCTTTCTTATCTTTAGTCCTGCACTGGTATACAAACCTTCAGGTGTAAAATAATCTTAATATGTCTGCTATTCCTAAGCATACGAATACATGTACCTGTATACGCTAAATGGTGTATTTTGTAATGACGATTTTGAAAGCTCGACTGCTAGAGACATTGAAGATTTATATTAGGGCTGCCAAACATTTAGAGGGCAGAGTTGTTTGGTATATTATATTTTACAAGGTGTCAAATAAACATGTTCCCCTTAATTGCAAAAGTATGAACTTCTGTGCATAAAAGTTCATCTAGTTGAGCTAGTCATATGACACTTTTTGAAGAGATGCTCCATGAAGCCTAGTTTTAATGTATTAAAGAACAATTCAGATATCATGCAAATATGAAAGTTATGCAACATTATGTGGATGTTAAAGTTAAGGAGGGAGAACATATTTTATTTGACACCCTGTATATTGTATTATTCTGGTATCTGATCTCTGAAACTAGGTTGTAGCAAAGGAGAACGGCGATATAAACTATTATTTAAAAAGCCAAAATATAAGTATGTTATTTTTATTTTGGAATTTATGTATCGAATACAAATGTTTTATGTACTTCTGCTTTATTGGTATTGTTGACAATTATAAGTAAATTATACATGTTTAATAGTAAACTGAACTTTAAGTTTAGCAGAATCAACTTTTTTGTTCTAAAATATACAATCAAAATGAGTACCTAATTCGAAGTGTGCAAATTAAAAGACAATTATGTCATCTCCATATGTGAATTTTTTTTCAAAATTAGTTTTTATGTTATTTCACACAGTCGTGATTCAGCTAATTTGAGCATTGAAATGTAAGAAAATGAATGCACATGTTGCGTTTTCAGTTAAAGTTTTAAACCTAGAATTGTAAAAATGGTTTACTATATAATACACTGTTAATATCTGTTAGGTACAGTAGATTTTATACATGTAGAATTGAATTATTGTAAATGTAGACGCATTAACCTGCAATGACGTATTGCTTTGATAAAAAATAATTTAATAAAGACAGAAAATACGACCCACAATGAACCATTTGTTTCGTTTGTAATATGTACGTGGTACACCCTCTCCACAAGTTTGGTAACCAAAAAAAACCTTTTGGATCTTCTTTCAAGGACTGTTTGTAATTTGTCATTAAAAATCATCATGAGTTTTCAATCTCCCAACTATTGTATTTAAGAAAATTGAGATTCCAACAGGGATGGATTTTGGCATTGATACGCCATACATTTGA